TTTTAATAATTGCAAGCTAAAAACAGGTTGAAACATAAAAAGTTATACAAGAAAAACTTCTTATTAACTTTTATTATAAGCTTATATTCCTTAATATAATAGACTTTATTATATAATATATTGATATAATATAAGCTATTTTTAAAAAAATTAACAATATAAACACTAATATATAGATCAAATAGAAAAATATTTGAATAGTTTTGATATATGGGAGTTGTATCTTGATTGATATTTATATTTCTAAATTTGACAGCTTAAGTTAATTAAAAATTTTTGAAATATCTATTAAAAGATTTTAAAGTTGTGCTTACTTAACTATTATGGCTCTTAGGTTTAATAGCAAATATCAATTAAAGAATATATTTTTAAAGCATTTATTAGAAAATATATACTCTTGTTATAATTTTCTTTTTATTTAATAGCTATATAAATTGAAATAAAAAAATAATAAGCAAATTTGTTAAAACTAACATATATATAAAACATTTTAATTTTAAATTATCTAAGTATACTATTTTCTCAATGGTTTAAAATAAAGTATTGAGATATTCGGTTATTTTATAAATAATCTCTTCAAAGTAAATACTCTTTAATACAAATTAGATTAGCAAATTAAATAATTTAAAACTGATGACAAAATTTTTATCTTCTAATAATTTTATCTAATATATTAATCTATCTCTTTAATAATAGTTAATATAGTTGGATTATATGTATTAGATATAAGTTAAATCTGTAAAAAGAAACTATAAAATGTAAAGTTGAAATTGAATATTTAATAAAAAATATATATTATAACAACTTTTTTTTTTAAAAAAATTTTTTTATAGTAATTTTTTTCAAAATTAAAGAAACAAATATTTTTTTCACCTTTCAATATCCAAAAGTCCTTTAGACTTTTTCTTTTTTCACTACAAGAGTTCCAAGAAAATTAAAGAAGTACTGTATACTGGTGCATTGGGATGGAACCTCTGGTTAGGTGAAAGCAATTTTGAGGGTCTTGTTTTTTTTTTGGATTGTATAAGGAAAGGCCCATAGCAGTTACTTCTTTACAAATCTTTCTTGAGGTTCTTCCCTATTTTTCTTTTTTTTAATACATAAATCTTTTTAACTAATTATATTTCTTGCTTAGAGGATTTCTTTTTAATCAAAAAAATTAAACTTCACATCAAAATAGTTTATATTGTTAACTTGAGGCACTAACAATATATTTAATACTTATTTTTTATTATTACTTAATATATTCTGCTATGCAACCAAAAATCAAAAATTTTTACTTAAAAAATTCTTACCAAAAAACTATAGTCAGTTTATTTCTATCAACTATTCAAAATTTCAAATCCAATTAATCAAATACTATCAAATCTCAAAACAATTCTGTATAATCAAAACACTATATAATGATTGATATAAATAAATTTTATTTTGACAGTATCAATCAAAACAAAATTATATCACCAAAGAATAAACCAATCAATATACTAACAAAAATATTAACAATCACAACAACAATATATTATTTAAATAATGTGTTAACAATATTATTATTTACTTTGGATAGTAGCTTGGCCATTTCTGAAAGCAGTATCCTATTTTAGTTAAATGAATTAATCAGCATGGTACACCTAATTCAAGGTATCCTTTGTGTAATAGTTAGTTTTTTTTATACTTTTCTCCTAATCTTTATCAAATATTTAAACATAAACAACTATACTATTACTATTAATAATAATTCAAGAAACAGTTGTCAAGAGAATGTGTCATCAATACTATTATATATTATTAGCTATAGCCTGATTATTCTGGAAAGTATAATGGTACTTCAGGAGGATGGAGCTATCAAAGTAATATTAGGCTTTATTTGTATTATAATTATTTTTTTTATCATTTTTCATTTGTCTAGTATTTTCTTTTTTTACTTTTATATTTTCTTAAATTTTATTTCATATAATCCTGAGTAGATATTCATATCTGCTCGACACTATCTTAGATATATATTGGTTTTAATATTTATTTTCCATGTCATTTAGATAATTTCTATAGACAAGCTAGTATTAGACTTATTAGTTTAGCAAGTTATATAAAAAATGTTGTCACTTTTTCCATGTATAAATTTTAAACAATTTTATAATTAATAAAGTGATGATATTTATCTACTTAAAAATAAATAAATTATATATTGTAATACTTTTTATCTAAAAATAATAATAATAATAAAATAGAATAAAACCAATAGAATTTTATTGTATAATAACTGAATTAATAAGTTTGTTTTAAACTTTTATCATATTTAATTTGTTTTATATCTAGTTTATTTACAAATTTTTAACAAAAAATAATTTATTTTAAAAAAATTTTATATGTAACAAAATTTAAAAATCTATAATTAAAAAAAAAATTCATAATTCTATTATTATATAACAATTTTTAATGGTTGAAAAACTCTTTCCACTAATCCTTTTGTTAATCCAAAAAACAGACGTTTTTAAAAGACTTTTTGTCTTTATAATAATAAAGTCTATACACTTTTTTTTAACAACACTGATTCCTTAATTAGCAGAGCAAGCAGAAGCTATTACTTGTTTTATTTTTCTTTTTCAAAATATTTTTCTTATTTATTTTGATGACTAAATACAAGAAACTTACCTAAAAGGTCTACAGCAAGAACACCTTTCTAAGAAGAAAACTAACAAGAAAAAACACATTTCAAAGACTTCCAAAGATTCAAGAATCCAGAAAAACAAAAACAAAGAAGTTTCCAATCTTTCCATTATCTCTTTGGCTTTCCTCTTCATTTTTCTCAAGCATGCTTTTTTTTTCTTGTTTTTCTGAGGAATTTTGTTTATCTCAGTTTGACCTTGAATTTTTGATTACACCAAATCTCTTGAAAAATGATTGGTTAAGGTCACAGATTGGTTGATCACATCAGCTTCAAAAAAAGTAAATAAGACATATACTTCTTATATGTTTCTAGTTGCGCAATACCAAACTAATGATGTGATTGGTTTCTGAAAGAGTTGGATAGTTTTTGATTGAAGGAATAGTATAAAAGTATTAGATAAAGTAGAAATTGTGAGTAGAAGAGAAGCAATCCTTTTTTGTTCCCTATTCTTTCTTGAGGACAAGAAGTAGCAACCAGGTTTAGGTCCTATTCAAATCTGGTAACAAGTTGAAGTACTAATATTTATTCTAAAAATAGTTGGAAAAAGAAATCTTGAAACTATTCACCAGTTGAGTGAAACAATAATTCTAGCAAACATGGCTTAGGAGAATAATCAACAATAGAAAATTAACATCCTTTCTGGTTAGAAGTCTTTAAGCATAAAGTTTCAAGAAATACTTTTCTGAAAGTATCCTTAAATATTCTTGGACATCGATTACTCCAATAGAAATTAAACAGTTTGACTGGCCACAGATGGTGAGAAGTGAGAAACTATAAGGGGCTTGAATTTTAAGTTTATTGAGATAATCTTTTCAATGATAGTTAGAATAGATGATAGCTTTTTTTCTTTTCTTTTTATCAAAAAATTCCTTTTTTATTTCTTTTTTCCCTTGCATAGTTTCTACAAGAGAAGGCAATACAATTTGGATTTATAGTTGTGACTATAGAGGTGATCTGCAGGTTTGGATCTTATCAAAAGTTTGGGATCTTAATCTTATCCTTTAAAGGAACAATATATGACTTCCATAAATCATATCTAGAGGCTTCAGCTAAAGATAGGTGAGTTGAATCAAGGAAATTTGTACTTTGCATGTATTCTCATGTGTGTAATGGTTCTTTGTAATTTAATAAATAAATAATATCAACCTGATTGCAGGATTAAAAAAAAAAATTATTATACAATAATTTTATTATATATATAATATAAATTGTAATCTACTACATATATTAATATTAAACTTATAGTAGCTTTAATATTAACTTGATATTAAAATAGTATTATTAGAAATATTAATTATAAATTTTTGAAATTCTTTTTTATTTTTTTAAGTTTTTTTTTGTTTTCTTAAATATATAATATAAACTTTTTTTAAATTTTTTTAAAGAATTTTGTCTATTTTAACTTAACTCTAAATTTTTGGTTATATCAAAACTTTTAAATAATAATTGGCTTAAAATTTAAATTGATTAATCTATATATAACAAGAAATATAAATAAAAATATAATTTTTACAAAAAACAAAAGAATAAAGTATATTATTACAGATATTTTTAACTTCCTTGTTTTAAGAAAAAATAATCAATTAATTAAGAATACAAATTTTTTTTATGAAGTTCTTTTTTGCTACGGGAACTTCAAGCTTTTTCAAATATTTAAAGTGAAATAATATTTTAATAGAAAGGTAAAAAGGGATGAATAACATAGAAGTAATAAAAAAAAGTTTTGTTCTATTTAGCATGTCTCAAAGAGAGCATATAGACTATATTAAAACAGATGCATAAAATTAAGGGGTTAGTAAAAAGAGTTCGTGTGAATTTATATGATAATAATGTTGCGTCGTTATTTTTATTAATAAATAATCGACTGAAATTATAATTAAAATCCGTTGCTTATTATTCTTCACATGCTACGCAGAATCTTTAGTTTATTTATTTTCCAAAAATATTTGCCATAATAGTATGTATATTCTGTAGTATTTCGAAATCGTTTAATGTAAAATTTTAATATATTGTTATATATCTATGGTTTTTCAAAAAAAAATTTCAATTTAATAATAATCAAACAAAACCGCGTTTACTTTTATTTATATTTGATTTTATTAGAATGCAGTAAATCTATTATACGTAATATACACGTTCAATTCTATCTGATATTTACAACAAATTTTTTTTTTGCATAGCATAGTATGGAATCATAGTAATTTTGAAAAGATTCTTAAGCGCATATCTATGTACTGGACGTTATCCTTATAAACAATAGTTAATTCTTAATCATATAATATCATAGAGTATATCCTTATTAAAGTGGCTTAACTATAAAAAAAGCTTATAATATTTAGAAATAATAAGAATTATTGAAATATAGTGGTGTTGATGAATCATCTAAAAAACTGGAGGAATTTTCTGTGTTTATTAGGTATTCTAGATTAGATATTCCGAGTTGGATAGTCGTTAAATGAATGTCGTTAATATTAGTTAAGGAATCAATGAGCAATTGTTCTTCGATTTGAATTGATGAATTGATTAAGTTATTAATAATCTGTTCTTCTGTTTGGATTGACGAATTAATCAAGCTATCTATAAGCTGTTGTTCTTCAGTATGGATTGACGAATTAATCAAGTTATCGGTAAGCTGCTGTTCTTCGATTTGGATTGACGAATTGATAAAGCTATCAATGAACTGTTGTTCTGCGGCTTGGATTGGTGAATTGATCAAGCTATCGATGAACTGTTGTTCTTCGGTTTGGATTGGTGAAT